TGAATCCATTAGGTTTCTGGTGATAATTGCCCCTTGGCAATGGGAGGATTTGTGGACTTCCAACCTCCTGTTCCAGTTGAAGCAACGTTGGAATTTTCATTTCCTCAAGAAGAACATGCTCCGAAAGATAGTGAACAAGTCCATTCTGACAGTGATGTTAATACTAAGAATGGCAAGAAGCCCATGTCTTGTTCTGAGGAAGCACTTGCCATAGTTGATATTGGCGACTCAGTCTCCAAAAATAATCAGTCAGGAATCAAAGATGCAAAAAACAAAATAGAATTGGAAATAAGACCCTCAACTTCTATTGTGACTGAGCCCTTAGATCCTATATCAACTGGTAGTAAAGTTCAATCCCTATGTTCAATTGAAATGGAGGTCATTGATCCAAATCTTGCTAGTGATGACGATGGAGCCACTAAAGAGAACTTATCACTTCAAGAGAATGCTGCTGATGATGATGATGATGAATCAAGGAAAAGGTTTTGTACTCTATATCTTATGCGAGTGGATCCTCTCACGTGAAAAAATAATCATCTGGTCATATTATTTGATCACAATCACTCATTTAAAAATTATATACTTTTCTCTTTCTAATTATCTCATCATCAATGAATGGTTGTGATCAAATAACATGACCACATGATCACTTTTTCACGTGAGAGGATCGACTCTCGTATCTACTTGTTGGCAATAACAATAAATACAAAATCATATACGTGTTTTTATTGCAGGAAGAGAAATATGGTGTTGATTGACTTTAATAAAATGCGGCCCCCCAGGCCTATCCGTGAGCCAAGAGTAGTAGTCCAAATTGAGAGCAAAGTGCTCATACTCGATGATGGTTATCGCTGGCGTAAGTATGGACAGAAGCTTATCAAAGGAGAATCAAACCCTAGGTAGCTAGTGATCTCTTTTTTCTTAGTGCATATGGATGTTTATTTATATTTGCACGCAGGGATATGATATATACCTTGAGATGTGATGTGTTATTTCTATCTACCTTCTTAATTCTTAAGAAATATAATATATAAAATCATCATGACCTTCGCTTAATAACTAAGTTATTGAGTTGAATTTATAGGATTACATAATATAAATGATTCAAGTGATTACCAATTCGATCTTTACCATCTAATTTTATTAGTAAATAATTAAATATTGTAAAAAAAATTGTATTGATAAGAGGGTGGGCCTGTGTATTATCTACACTAAAAATTATACAATTGTATTATTAGATAATATTGATTAGTTTTTCTTTTATATATATATATATATATATATATATATATATATATATATATATAGGGGAGGGATCATTTGACTCCAGAGTAAGATTTAAAAGTCTTACTCCTCATCCCAGCCATTGATTTCCGTTCATCCAACGGTTATCATTTATTTGAAATTAATAATTAATTAATGCATTAAATTACTAAATGATAACCGTTGGATGAACGGAAATCAAGGGCTGGGATGAAGAGTAAGACTTTTAAATCTTACTCTGGAGTCAAATGATCCCTCCCCATATATATATATATATATGGGGCATGTTATATTTACAAATTTTTTTGTTTACAAACTACACTATCTTTTCTCGGGAGAACATAGTGCAATTTGCATAAATTTAAAAAAAAAAAATTGTAAACGGATCTTTCCCATATATATATATATATATATATATATATATATATATATATATATATATATATATTATGCTTGGTTATTTGAATGGTTTTAAGTAGATCACCGGTTGGCGTTCTAATTAAATAGATAATGAACTTTTATTTGAGGGGACATTTGAGAGATATATTATATAAAATCATTAGTGTGACATTGGTTGAATTGGTCCGTTATTCATTTTCTATATTGTTCATTGAAATTAAGGTTTTTCATATTAAGGGCTAAGCTGCATATCATGCTATGATATAACAATAATGCATTTAACTTTGTTTTCATGGATGTTTTCTAGGGCCTACTACAAATGCACAAGTGATGGATGTTCGGTAAGGAAACACGTGCAAAGGGATCGACGCAATTCAAAATATGTAGTTACTACTTATGAGGGAAAACATAATCATGAACTGCCACCCGGTAAATACAGAATTAAGACAAGCTTAACTAGTGGTGGTAATGAACTTCCTGATGTTGCTGATGATACACTAATGACTATTACATTTCCTGGGGAACCCAGTAACTCAAAACCCGAACCTCAAGTTCAAACTCATGCACCTGAATTCGGTGGCAATGGGTTTCTGATGAGGCCCAATTTGGTTGGAAGTTTCAGTAATGATATGAATTTTGGGTCTTCCTCCAAAAACCAAATGAATAACAATAACACCATTCCTAATGGCTCCTATGGTTTGAACCTTGACTACCGTTGTGCTACCCCTCAAGCTGCTTTTGTGTTTCCTAATTTTTCAATGTCTCCATCGTTTGAAAATGTTTCTCAGGTTGGACCTAAAGTCAACGGTGGTGTAAACCAAGTTGGTCCAGTTCAGTCTTTCATTTCAGGGAAGCAGCTGAAGGAGATCAATGATGCAGGGTTCCCAACCCCTACCAACCGTTGATCTTGCAAATGCTTTGCTTTACCTTCAGCATCATCGTCCATGCATGCATTTATCAACCTGCCATTGCAAAATTATCCTTTATAATCTTGTCTTTACAGCTTTCAGCAACTGAACTATTTCCATTGGCTTTCGTTTTGTATTTGAATTAAGGGATTTTGTCCCGTCATTGTTGTTTCAATTATTTTGACTGAAACAAATTAACGATGTTTTTATTAGTACTTCAATTCATAGTTTCTCCTTTTTTTCCTTTTTAATTAACCAGAAAATATAGTTCTGGTTTTGTGGAATGCTTTATTGTTTTCTTCCCCTCGCCGGAAAATTTACCTGCGTTAATTTGGGGTTGCATTTTTAAAGCATTATTACAGGTAAGTAATTAAGCTTATGGTTATTTGTTTGTCTTTATTATTGTACATGCATATATAAAGGATGTCCATTACCTCTAGGCATCATATATATATATATATATATATAAGATCGAAAGTTGCATTAAATAATATATATATAACGTAGCTAGAAATTTTGTGTTGGAGTGACCGCATTTATAGATAATAAGAGAATCATGACTTCCAATAATTTATCGAATCTATGACAATAACAACCGCCACGGTCATGCCACATGCTAGACATATCCATGGACTTTTATTGATAATGTAGCCGTCATTTGTTTCTCGACCCTTGTAGTTTAGATTGTCTTCAAGATACGCTTGTTTAATTTTTTGGAGTGGCGTTATTGGAGTGGCGTTATCGTTAGAAATAAACCGAATAAATAAAAACCCAATATAATTAAGTCTCTTCCTTTCAATCAAAATTTAAGGTCGCTCGGATCGTTTTAATGAAATTTAATTGTATTTCTTTTTTCTTTTTTCTTTTTTTGGTAACAAAATTTAATTATAATTCAACAGTTGATAAGCGAAGTTTAATGACTGAGCAACTAGGATTACATAACTAAAACTTATTCTCTCGCTCTCTAAACTGAATAAGTAAGTTTGTACTTTAAGGGCCTGTTTGGAGTACCTGATAAAGAAGATAGGATAAGATAGCTTATCATATCTTACTTTTATCTCTTGTTTGGTGGGTCAATAGGATATGATTAGTTTATCTTATTGTCACATTTTATCCTATCCAATATATGATTTCTTATCTTATTGGAGGGAGCTGGGTTAGGATTCAACAGGATAGGATATCAATATTGGATACCCATAACGCTACCCAATATATCTCCACGTTATCCAATATATTTGTATTTATTATATTATATTTTGTTTTTCTTTCTTCTTTTTCCTTCTACATAATCTTATCAGATTGTTAATCAAGTACTCATCAAACACGGGACATGATATAGACTTATCAGCCTCATATCATATCCTACCCTTATCAGCCCCTTATCATATCGTACCCTTATCCTATCCTGTGCATCAAATGAGCCGTAACGTACACAAGCAACTAACAAACTTATGCCAACGTGTGACCACCAATCACATGAATCCACTATTAAAGAATTATTCCAGCTTAACCAATGATTTCAAGATATGATATTTTTTTTTTTGGATTACCAAGATATGATATCAAGATCACTTTTATTGTGGTAGATTCTCATTTAATACATTGATGGTGGTCTCTAGCTATTATATAGGCTCCCTTTAGCCGCATAGCAGTGTTATCAGGGCCAATTTTTGGTTGGGATGAGTATTTGAAAATAGTTGTTTAGTGAAGTTTGGGTTTGTTATCTCCCCGAGCCATGTTGTGGGACTCATACTTGGGAAAAATATTAGAAATTCAAGTGTGAGTGGTGAAATGTGTGATATTGAACACTTATGATGGATTATTATTTATCCCATTGATGTGATCTCTCCGCCATAGGCTCCTCTTACTACCATGACACTAGTATCAAAACTAATGTATGTTACGTATTTGACAATGGTGTGGTTTATGTGGTTCGGGTTTGTTGATGTTTCCCAAGCCTATACTGCAGAGCCAAGAACTTGATGAATGCAGTCAAGATTTTGTTGGTAACCTCATAAATATTTAAAGAAACTTTCGCTTAGGGTAGTATGTCTTACACTTAACAGAGAGATAGTTGAAAATTCAAACGTAAATGGTAAAATCTCATGTTGATTAGGAATTGGCTCATTGAGGATTATATAAATAGAATGACCCATGAACTTAATACTTTAAATTTTGAACTGCGATATGATATCAAATTCACTTATTACGGTGAATTATCACTTTGACCTATTTATAATGATTTCCTAAATAAAGCATCATCAACCCATATAAAAATCAGAATAAATCAAAAAATATATAATAAATAATATATATATAATAATAATAATAATAATAATAATAATAATAATAATAATAATAATTGCTAGAATCAATAAGTGAGAATAGTGAGGAAAGGAGGAAGGTACACTAGCTAGAGCAGGCTGTGTTCTAAACCGGTGCCAATTGGGGCTTGTGTAAATTCTCATCTGAATACAACAACCGCGGCTTCTTTGAAGCATAACCTTGGTACTGGTAGATGATGCTGTAAAGGCACTGCCTCAGACTTAAGACGTCAAATTCTTCCAGAAACCTTAAATCTGTTATCCTGGATTTAGCACCAGCAAATCGCTGGTATTCCTCATACACAGAAGATAAACACCATTTCCGCAATTTTCTCAAGCAACCAACAACGCAACCAGTTCGATGCTGCGTAAAACAAGACAAGATCATACATACCCTGTGAGTTATTTAAGAAAATAAAACCAACGAGAACAAATAAATTGGTAAGTCAATGTGTGTATATATACACCTTTCCTCGATTGCAGTGGATCAAAACTGGATGATTTTTCTCATCTGAAACCCAAGATTAAAATGTTAATTAATATATATGACAAACAAGATATAATACTTGAATAAGAGTGTTATGATAATTTAGTACCAATTAGAACTTTGAGAGCATCCATGATAGTATCCTTCACAGTAGATACAGATAGATCCTGCAAATGCAAAAGGACTAGTTTGCATCAAATCAAATGTCATAGCTTTAACACAACCATATTATATATATAATATGAGTTCCTAAGAAATATCATGTACTACGATAAAAGCTTATGCTACCGGGGAATCAGAGTTTTTTTTTTTTTTTTGAAGAATTTGTTTTATTAAAATAATTGCTTCCCGGTTCATCTATGAATTCGGATGCTAACTTACAACAAATAAAGGCCAAAAAATACTGTTCTTTCACGTGTTATTTAACGTCATCCGAAAAAATCTTAATTATTTATAGACAAATCAACAATGATTAAAGATGAAAGAAAAAAATATATCCACTAGGCCTAGCCTAGTGGTGTGGGCGTGTGTAATAGGGTGTCTGTGAGTTTGTGGTTGTGTGTTCTATTTTCTGTAACCTAAAGAAAAAAAAATATTAAAATAAGAAATAAAAAAAATAACCTTTGATTTATTCACTAACAATTAAGATACATGATATGATAAAATTCATTCTTATCCCACCACCACATCACACCTGTGGTTAGAGTTGGCAAAACGGGCTTAGCTCAGCAGGCCAACCCGTCTCACCAGCTAAACGGGACAGGGTGAGCTGACTCATTTTTTAGTGGGTTAATGCTGGAGCGGGATGGGCTGCCTACTTTACCAGCTTTACTTGTGGCCACCGACTATCCTCAACCCTAACGCCCTAAAATGAATTTTTTTTTTTTTTTAGTAAATGAAAAAAGGATTTAATTACCGTCTTGCCCTCAATACCAAAGTGAAAGAGTCGAATTTCGTGCGATCGAAGGAACTCTAAGTTTTGCTGTGGATATGGTTCGGTGCACAAGTATCTGCACTCACATCATATATATTGAACTCATGAGTTTTCATTTAAAGGAAAAGGAATGAGAGAATTGTAAAGATCAAACTGGAAAAAGGAAAAGTGCAACTGACATTATGGATCGAAGATTTAGGGTTTTGAGAAAGGCGAAATTGGAAGGTTGAGGGAAGCTGGAGCGATAAATGCCCTCCTCGACCATTGAAAAGTTGCACGGCGCAACCAGAACGGCGTTGGTGTTGTCTTCCTCTTCCTCCACCTCCACTACCACCATCGTCACCAAACCTATTAATTCTTTCTCGCTTCGCTAGCTGATTTCCAACTGTAATAACTGCCAAATGCTGATGTTAATGGCTAAGTGCTAATGCCTTCTCCTTAAATTGACAAATGAATAAAATCAATTACGGGATTTACCCTTACACTATTCTTTACAAATTCAAATTTTGCAATTATTCTATTACTATCTTATCTACAGTTATCCTAAATATTTGAGTATAAAGATAAAGTATTTAAAGTTTTTAAAATTTCTTTAAATAACTTTATCTAATATTTATTAAAATATATACATAAAATTATGTGAATCTATATTTTTTTATTTTTTTTTACATAAATTTACATAGATTCCATATATATTTTTTGTGTGTATTTTAATAAACATTATATATAAACTTTAAACTAAAGATAAATATGTTGGGATTGTCATCCTGGACCAAATCAAGTTCGAAACTTTCAAAACGATATGACAGCTTACAAAAACTTCCCGCCTTTTTTCTTTCTTGAAACATGTTTATTGAAATTATACTGAACAACGTTAATTGATGTTTTTACTAAGAGGTTTATTTATTATTTCCATGTTCATTTACGTAGTGGTTTTCAACAAAATATCACTAATATAATATAATAATTTCAAAATCTTAAAAGATCATGTAAATTCATTAATGTAGCTTCCGTTAATGGACTGGGTTGGGCTGAATTAGTCTTTGATCTAAATAAGTTAGGTTTATGCAAAATGTTTTAAGTCTAATATGACGACATATTAGCTTGAAATAGGTTGTATTATAAGCTTGATCTAGCATATATTTAAAAAATAAAAAGGCTGATCTAGATCTATTAATCTGTTTAAGCCTATCAAATCTTCAATAATTATTAAAATTAGAAAAAATATATAAATTATTTTTTATTAACTAAAATTATATAAAATATCATTTTGAGCATATGTAAAATGTTTTGAATCTAGTCTAATCTATTAGCTATCAGGTAGGCTGTATTATAAGCTTGATGTAGCATATATTTAAGAATAAAAGGGTTAATCTAGTTCTATTAGTCTTTAAACCTATCAAACCTTCGATAACTATTAAAATCAGAACAAAATATATAAAATAATTTTTTATTAATTAAAATTGCATAAAGTATCATTATATTTTATTTTAATTAAAATAAAAAATATAATATAAATCAATATATAGATTTGTTTTCTAAACAAGTTATTTAAACTTAAGCATATTTTATTTTACTAAATATGCTAGATCAGATCGAACTTGACATAAATCAGACCGGATCCTAATAAGCCGTCTATCTCATTTATACTTATAACTATTAGATTCTATTTAATTCTTCAATATAACCAATCAAAATTACTTACAGCTTTTTCACTTGATATGAGACAGATAATTATGCTTTTTTCTTTAATATTGAAACAGTTTAAATATAATTGAAAATTTGCTAAAGAACCAAAAAAAAAATGTAAAATCGCAATTAAAGGAAAAGATTCGAGGCAACAGTTATGCAAATTGTTCAAAATTCAAAAGGCGACAAAACGAAAATCAAGTCTTATAATTATAACTCTATCGTCACCGCTTTTGACTCTGGTCAATATGTGTTTTTAATTAAAAATAAATAAAATATCTCTCATCATTTGTCAGAATGACACTGTGCTTATTGACCTTGTAAGCTTTCAGTGTCCATCGATGCATTTCCATCATAGCTCACGTTTCTATAATGGCGAACTATTTTTATAATAAAATGATGGAATTAACGTTTAATATAGTATAAAAGTTAATTTTATTTTTTATAACGTAAAAATATATGAGATTTATATTTATTTTCTTTCTCTTTATATAATCTCGTATAAATTTTATATACTTTTATGTATATATAAAAAATAAAATTATTTTCTATAACAAAAAAATATTAATTTTTAAAATGATGAGAGATGCATTTCTACTATTGCATAAAAATAAATACATCTCCTGCACAAAGGAGATCAGGGTGAGACCCACTGAAATTTTAAAAAAAAGTTATTAAATAATTTTTGTGAGCGCGCAGGACGGAGGAGGAATAATTCCCCCTAAAATGATATAGGCCTTCGTGACACAAGAAAAAGTAGAAATCAATTAATGTAGATAAGTTATCTGCATTTACTTACGATGTCGTTTTGGGATTGAAATATTAAAAAATTATAATTATAAAGACTATAATAATCCTGAAATAAATTAAAATTACAAAAATACCATAATTTTCACTCAAAATAACGTCAAATTAAACTTACTGCAGATAACTTGTCTGCATTAAGTGCAAAAAAAATAAACCCAATTTTTATTTAATAAACCTCGTCATGGTTCATCCTTTCCTCAATAAGAATAAGAAATAATCCATACTTAATGGAATGTGTTCTTTCAGTCAGTATTTTAAAACTCATTCCGATCATTAACTCAATTGAAATATTAGGTTATTGGATCACTAATTTATTCAATGGGTTACAAGTTCAATAGCATTAATTAAATTTTATATAATAAATATTATATTATAAATATCATGTCCAACAAATAAAAGTAATCTAGTAGTAAGTCTATTGATTCTCAAACATGGAGACTCAAGTTCAATTCTTGTTGCTTGCAAAATATGTGTGTGTGTGGAGAAGGTTTTATTACAACCTCTTATACAACATATTTTAACCGTTGATTATTGCGAATTAATCAATAAACGGGATCTTAAACGAAAATAGGTTGTAAATATAACCTCCCTTATATATATTACAGATTTTAACATAAAACCGATTTTCAGCCAACATATTGACTCAATGTTGAAAGAAGACCTTACCCTCAATTAGGGGTGTAAATAGGTCATGCCTATTAAACATTCAACAATTAAAAAAATAACTAAAATAATATTATACTTTATTATTCAAAATTATTAAAGTAATAATTTATTTATTTTATTTAAAACAAATAATATGATATAGGTCGATCTATAGGCTTATAGGTTGACATGTACAAAAAAAAGTCTATGGCATGCTTTCTAAATAGGCTTTTTAAAAAGCTTAGGCCTATTCTATTTAACTTTTTGTCATAGGTCAAGCCTGACCTAATATAGGCTATGTAAGAACCCTCACCGTTAATTAAGGTATTTAATTAATTAATTATGCAAAATTAGGAAATGATTCCATAATTGACCCTAATAATTATTATGAGGCTTTAATAATTATAGTAAGTGAGTAATAATGCTGAAAGTCGCTTTTCGGAAGAAAAGTGCAGATACCGGTTCTGCTAGTCGGTATAAATGCGTACCGAAAAAGTATCCCGGAAAATTAATGTAAGTGCATGATAATTACTAGAATAATATGTAGGACTTGTAAAACGAGTTTCAAGTTCAGATAATGAGAACTGGTACTAGAAACCGGTATTGGCTTGGAAAAGCGCGTATCGGAAAAGGTGCTCAGAAAATTACGAAAAAAATATGATAAATCTTAGAAAATTATGTAGTTTCAGAATCCGAAGTTTGGGATTAAAATGCTAAGCATAGCAATTAAAGTTAATACTATGTGTTTAAGTGCGTTTGGGCTATAAATACCCTTTTAAGGGAACATAACCCTAGAAAACTGTCTCTATGCGTGAGTGACTTGTGGTGGCTGATCAGTTTTACTCTGTGTTGGTGCTCTCTTCCCTTGTGTAAGCCTTGTGACCTTCTACCTCCATGTTACCTCTTCCTAAACACTTGGGCTTGAGGGTGTGAGTCTTGTGAGCAGAAAAGAGTCATCTTTCTAAGTTTATGAGTTGCTGTTTGTGAGGTTCTTGCTCTGAGTTGGAGAGTTTGGAGGGGAGTCATCTTGTTCTTGGTGGTTTAGAGCTCCAAGTAGTTTCCTTGGTGAGGAAAGGACTCATCTTATTGGTCCATTTCGTGCACCTTGTTGAGTCAGTCTTGAGGGACTGATTGTGAGCTCCAAAGAGCAACCTCTTCTTCTGTTTTGAGCTGGGGTATGTGTACCAACCTTTGATCATGAGTTTAATGCTAAAAAATGAAAGCTTGATGCATGTTAAGGCTTAAAGATGATAACTTGTTGTGGGGTAATGTTGAACACACCTAGAAATGCATGTTTAGGTGCTTTAAATCGTTAAAAACCCAACCTTGGAAGGATATCTTCACGAAATGCATTTTCTGCATTCTGTCGTGAAATATCCGGATATGTGCCCGATGAATATCCGGATATGTGATATCCGGATATGGGTTTTCTGTATCCGGATAATAGATATCCGGATATGGGATTCTGGATATCCGGATATGGCATATCCGGATATGTACAGTGAGATATCCGGATATTGCATATCCGGATATGGTCCCGAGGAATATCCGGATATTCTGGGATTTCGTAGAACAGTAGCTGTGCTGTGTGTACAGTAGGCTATTGGGGGTTTGTGGACCCTAGATTGATGAAGTTGAACTTCTGTAATTAATGAACTAAGTCAGAATCGTTGTGATTAAGGACTTATGGCTTGTAGGGAGCCTTAAGACGTAAAACGTAAGGAGAGGCGTTGTCTTTAAGTTATATGCTTGTGTTGCATTATTATTGATATAGTATTGGTCCATAACAGATTGTGAATCTGCTGTGTTTGGACTTTGAGCTGTGGACTCTTGGCTTTTGGAGTTAGCTTGCAAGGTAAGCTTTCGTGTCCTCGGTTTAGCCATGTTGTGGTTCCACCATGTCCCATGGGGGTATGGTTTATGCATGCTGTGTACATGCTTTTGGATATTTGATATGTTGATTGAACTTTACATGTAATGGCTTTTAATATGCATGTGTTGTTTCATCTTGACGGGAAGCCTGAGTATGTAGCGCCATACAAGATGGTGTACCGGGGTGAATGCAAGTGGTACTTGCACGGTGTGTAGGTGATAGACGTATACATGCACTGTCTCTGGCCAGTAGATTAGTATTGACACACATGACATGATTATCTGCTGCATTGCATTGTTTTAGAAATGATAAATGATAAACTGTTTTTGAACTTATATTGCACATGTAAGTGAGCTTGGGGTGGAAGATCCTTGAGGACTCACTGACTTACTGAGATTTTTAGATTAGAGATCTTACCCCACGTTTGGGGAATGCTTATTTCAGGATCAGGTAGTATGGGTACTGATGCCCCAGGCGGCAGAAGGCCGGAGCTTAGCTGATTATGTTTTATTGCTTATGTTAGCATGACTGGATTCAGATGCTGTTTATGTTTTCCTCTATTTATGATATGTTGTTGTTGAGACTGATGTTGCACATGTTGTCTTATTTGAGTGAGCATGGGGATTGTCCATGACACTTTCTGTTAGTACTTGTAGTTTGGAGTTGTATAAACTGTTAGATGGTCCGGTCTACGTTGTTGTAGTTCCGTGACTAGAGCCACACTTATATTATCTATGTTATGAGGTATTTCAGTTAGCTATTTTATTGCAATTACATACAGACGATGTTTTATTAATTGATTATTAAGCAAGTTGGTAATGTTAATGGCATCATAATTGAAAAGAAAAAAGTAATTTCGCACTTTAATTAAGCGCAGCTTAATACGATATTATGATAACATTACCGGATATATACGGGGTGTTACAGGTTAGGTCGTAGATCTCTGTAGGCTGGCCTAGTCTATTTACACCCCTATCCTCAATATTAGTTATTGATTTATTTGTAGATAATTAATAATTAATTAAATGATTATTAATATTAATTAATTAGTAAATTTAATCACTACTATATGTTAACATTGATTGAAAATGCCAACTCATAACATATAATTGTAGTCGCGAAACCATGATAGGGCAGGGTGGGCCCAGGCTAATTTTTTTAAATTAGTCACGTTTTAAATGTGGGGCCTTGGCCTGAGTTAATTTATGTGGCTAAATTACCGAAACTATTTAAGTGCATACTATTTTTTTTTTGCCCTAACTGGGTTGGCAATGCTAGCTCCGCCACTAATAATTGTATATCGTTTACAACGAAATCCTGCTTAATTACATATTTCTAGCTAGTTTCATATATTGCATATGAATTTAGATCTTCACAGATGAGAAATACAATTTAAAGAAAAAAAACGTATAAGTGTATATTATAGCCAAATCCGTTACATCTACAAAATAGAAAAATCTAATTAAGAGAGGCTTCAGGGAAGATGATGATGTTTCAGGATTTCGTTCCAAGCTACGAGCTCAAGGTGCTGTAAAGGGAGAGACGAAAAAGACTGATCAACAAGCGTGAGATCCTCCCATGGCCTCACTGCAAGAAAAGGTGCATTTAGCGGCGGTTGAATTATCATTTTGCCGCGATTAGAACCGTCGCAAAAATAGTAGTGTGGCGGTTAACCAACCGTCGCCAAATCAATCGTCGGGAAGGAATCAACGACGGTCAAACTTACCCGCTGGAACGACCGTCGAAAACAATATAACGACGGTTACAAAGGCGGTGTAGCCGCCACAGGATGATCATCGAGTGTAGTATGTATTACTTTTGGAGGCAGTTTGGAACCGCCTTTGATTAAGTAACAATGTATTTGGCGTCGGTTATAAACCGCCTCTGTATTTACTTTTGGAGGCGGTTTATTTATACAAAAGGTTCATTTAAATTTATACAAAAGTATCTAATAAATATATTTATGAATTTAATGGCATAATGGTTGTTGTCGTTGAATTCCTCTAATGTATACTATGTTCAAATCCTGCTAAGTGCCGTTATGCGCAAAGAACGTTCGCAAAAAACATATTCATGAAATTGTATATTCTGCAATGTTTGGCAGGGTGTCGTGAAATTATATATTTTGCTTCGTTTTGGTAACTGTCGTCTGATTTTGCATTCTGCGTCAGCTGTAACCGTCTTTAAACGAAATATCCTGCGGCTGTTCATAATCGTCTCTGATTTTGTATTCTGCGTCGGTTGTAACCGTCTTTAAATGAAATATCCTGCGGCTGTTCATAACCGTATCTAATTTTGTATTCTGCGGCTGTTCTTAAACGTCGCTAATTGCCGTCGTGGAATTGTGATATTCAACTAGGGTTCAATCGAGCGTCGATGTAACCGTCATTGTAGTGCCTTTTGGGGTCAGAAGACTTTGCAGATTCTGTTCCTGCCATACCAATACCATCCCAACCAATGAGTGTCACGTGTTTCACATTTGTTGGAACCTGATTTCCATCTCCATTTCCAGTTCTTCCAACTCCTCTTTATCCACTACAAATTACAAAACCATAAAATCAAAGCGCTACTCACTTAAACAAGAATGATTGGTTTAACCAAACTAACCATAACATAATCAATTCAATATAAAAATTTAAGTGTGATAAATAAGTGAGATCATGTTGAAGATTTTATATTAATATCTCTTACATATTCCTCAAGTAAGAGTTTTTTGGCTTGAATCCATGATCATATCATCACAACTTTTTTTTTTTGGTAATCTCATATGATCACAACTTTAATATCAAGTAACACAACAAATTCGACCTAAAAATTTAAACTTAATAATTGTTAGGTATGGCTCATACTTCGCATGATGACGAGGGCCTTTGTTGTCAGGGTCAGCAGAAAGGCAACTGGGGTCCCGCTTCCAGGTGAGCGGGCGGGGTTCGGGAGGCAGCGCCCCCAGTCCCGCAGAGGCTAAGTACTGTTATAGGCTTATGATTTATTGTAATTTTCTTAGCAGTTTGGGCTTGGGCCCATGAAGAGCTGTTGTTAGGGTTTTCTAATCCTGTTTATATATTCCATTGTAAACCGAGTGATTTGTAAAGTCTTGTAGAGGTTAGGTACTGTTATGGGCCTATGATTTATTGTAATTTTCTTAGCAGTTTGGGCTTGGGCCCATTAAGAGATGTTGTTAGGGTTTTCTAATTCTATTTATATATTCTATTGTAAACCGAGTGATTTGTAACGAGTGGCGGTGAAGTGAATATAGTACGGACAAGCTAGGTGAACCAGGATAAATCATCATGTCAATCTCTCTACTCTTTTCTCGATTTTGTGTGATTGTCGATTTCTAACAATAATAAGTGAGATTATATTAATAATTTGGAAAAAATATTTCTCCAGTCACTGGAGATAAAGTTATCTCCAACGAGCTGAAAACGACGTAGTTTTGCATTATAAAATTAAAAAATTATAATGAGAAAGACTAATATAACCTTGTAATATATTAGAATTACAAAAATACCTTGATTTCCGCCACGAAACGACGTCGTTTTGAGCTCGCCGGAGATAACTTATCTCCAATGACCTAGAGAATCTTTTACTCTAATAAATTTATATTAACAATAGAGGAAGTTCTTGAAACCCTTGAAAAACCTATTGAATCTGGGATATACGTTAGATTTTGGGACAACGTCATGAAATCTGAACGGGTTCTTGATGCTTTCACCAGACAAGCTCTCAGAAATATCCCTGTCACCTTTAGGTCCTCCCAAATTTATTATATAATTAATAACAGATCCAATTCAAATGGAGCAAATGAGATAAAGACATCACAATTAGCTGAATTAAGCTTTCACCTGTGTGCGTGTGTGTGAGCGTGCGAAACAGAAGAAATTAAAAAGAAGATGATATCAAATTAAGAGGAAAGAAGAAAGGACTTATTGCAGCAGCTGGTGAGATGGTGTATGATCTTGATCTTCTTGGATGAGGAAAACCAACATCCACGCTAGCCTCAGAGATGCATCCAAAAGAAAAAGGAAGAATTACAAGCCTTTCCATTATGTCATTCATTTCTTTGGTATTGTTAGATCAATTAGACTTGGAATTGGTACAATAAGTAATCTACATTCATCAATTCCTTTCTCTCTCTCTCTCTCTCTCTCTCTCTCTCTCTCTCTCTCTCTCTCTCTCTCTCTCTTTTCACGGTATCTCTGTATTTTGTTGTTTTATACTTATTCTTTTCTTTTTTGTAAAATAAAATCCCTTATTTATGTTCCTTTTTGTTTACGTGTTTTGGACTTTAGGTAGAATTAAGTAGTACATCCCTAGCCAACTTTTCAGTGAATCTCTCCACCCTACCTTGTGGGGAAGGAGACTAAAATCCAATGTTTCTTGAATTCAAATAAAAAGCAGCAAGGGCTTTTTTCATCATTGTACCCTTAACTACATAAAAAAAATATCACTTTGCCCCCTATCAAAATATTTCATCTATATATCCCTATTTGACCGTACAATATACTCGAGTACAGACTCGTATACTCTAGTATAACAGCAAATACAAGAGTATATGGGTATGTACTCGAATAAATATTCAACATCTGAGTTGTTTGGAACATTTACTTGAGTATAGGATCTAAAGACTCGGGTATTTATTGTTCCACGCGATATACTCTAGTATATGGGTATGTACTCGAGTATATTGCGATCAAATTTCTTAAGGCTTTGTTTGGGAGTTTGGAGGGGAGGGGAAGGAAGGGGATCCAAGGGGGAAGGAAGAGAAGGAAATTGAAGGGTATTCCTTTCCCTTGTTTGGGAGTTAAAAAAATGGTAAATGAGGGAAATTGAGGGTTAATGAGATATTTTTACCATTTTACCTTTTTTTTTAAAATTAATATAATTATTAAAATGTACAAATTAAATTAAATTTAAAATTTCTAACAAAATTATGTATGTACTTTTCACAACACCAAAAAAGATCATATTTTCGATGAAGTTTCTACGTTGCAAACGATAAAAATTTCATCACAAATTTATTTTTTTCGTCGAAATACTTTTCGACAAAAAGCGACGGAATTTTTCAACCAATGAAAATTTTAACAAAAATAAATTTTCGACGAAATTTAGTTTCCATCAAATGTTTTAAACGAAAAAAGATTTCTGTTAAAAATTTTGACGGAACATTTTACGTTCAAAATTTCGATAGAAATGTGTTCTGACGAAAATTTCGACAGAAATTGTTTTGTTAGAAATTTTGAGGAAAATGTTTCATTTGAAATTTTCGACGAAATTTAGATTCTGTAAAGAATTTTGACAAATATTTTTGCCGTCAAAATTTTGTCGAAATATTTTTCGTCAAAATTTTTTACGAAAATATTTTCTTTCAAATTTTTTTGACAGAAATGTGTTCCGTTGAAAGTTTTGATGGAAATATTTTTTTTCAAAAAACTTGACGGAAATGTTTTCCATCAAAAATTTTCGATGGAAATGTGTTTCATTAAAAATTTCGATATAAATTTTTTTGCCAAAAAGTTTATTGAAAATATTTCCGTCGAAAACTTTCGGCGGAATTTAAATTCTGTTAAGAATTTTGATGAATTTTTATTTTCGTCAACAATTTCCGATAGAAATGTGTTTCGTTGAAACTTTTGATAGAAATTTTTTTCGTCAAAAATTTTGATGAATATGTTTTTTTGTGAAATATTTTTGCAAAATTTATATTCCGTAAAGCATTTTGACAAAAAAAAATTTCGTCAAAATTTTTTATTAAAATATTTTTAGTCGTCAATTTTGATGAAAATGTTTTTCGTAAAAAAAAATTTGACGTAATTGTTTTACGTCGAAACTTTTCGATTGAAATGTGTTTCGTCAAAATTTTGGACGAAAATATTTTCCTTAAAAGTTTTGACGGAATTTAGATCTATCAATAATTTTGAATGAATTTTTTTTTTCCGTAAATTTCTTTTGTCACTGTTTATGGCAAAATCTGGTTCTCTCTCTAATTTCGTCTTTAGTTTTGGCGAAATTTTTTTGACGTATATGATTTTCATCAAAAATTTCATCACTATTTTTGACGAAATATTTTTCGTTGATAAATTCTATCGGTATTTGAGACTTTTCTAATAATGTCGCATTTAAAAATGATTCACAATTATGTAGTTTTTACATTTTAATGCTAATGATAGATAAGTAATTTTTAATATTTTTCCACTTAAACCCTCCAAACTTTAATTTTAAGAAGATGGAGGGTTTTGGAGAGTTTAGTAAAAATTCCCAATTCCTTCCCCTCCTTTTTTTAAACTCACAAACAAGGGAAGAGCTTACTAAAACCCTCTCTTTCCTTTCCTTCCCCTCCTAAAACCAACTCCCAAACAAAGCCTGAGGGAATTTTTCAACGCGTAGCTCTCAAAAAGTTATGTGGAATAAATAAAAAGCACCTGATTCGAATACCCGAGTCAAAAGTTATGGTCTTCAGAAGTTTTACTCTAAATTTTCCACAATTTTATAATGCCAATAGGTTTTGTGATACCCACAAAGCTCCTCCTCAGGTTGCTCGAGTTATGTCCAATATTATGAGTATATGATTATAAAAACTTGTTTGATCCAAAAAATCTCGTGGAAAAATTTTTAACCATAAAACTTCAGAAGACCATATTTTTTAACTCTAGTGTTCGAATCAAGTGCTTTTTTTTATTCCGTATAACTTTTCAACGGCTACGTGTTAAAAAATTTCCGAGTCAAAAGTTATGGTCTTACGAAGCTTACTCTAAAATTTCCAAGAATTTATAATGCCAATAGGTTTTGTGTTATCCACAAAACTTGTTTGATTCAAAAAATATGATGTTCCAAATTTTATGGTTAAATATTTTTCAACGCGACTTTTTGGATCAAAGAAGTTTCTATAGTCATATACTCATAATATTGGACTTGACTCGGATAACCTGAGTAGGAGCTTTGTGGATATCACAAAACCTATTCACATTACAAAATTTTGATAATTTTAAAGTAAAACTTCAAAAGGCCATAACTTTTAACTCCATGTGCTTTTTTTTATTATTATCCCACATAACTTTTTGAGTACTACGCGTTGAAAAATTCTCGTAGAAAATTTGGTCGCAATATACTCAAGTACAGACCCATATACTTGAGTAAATGTTGAAAAAACCCAAATGTTGAATATTTACTCGAGTAAGACCCATATACTAGAGTATTTGTTGTTATACTCGAGTATATGAGTTTGTACTCGAATATATTGCACGATCAATGATCAAAAAAGGACAAATAGGTGAAATATTTTGATACGAGAAAAAAATGATATATTTTTATATAGTTAAAGACATAATGATCAAAAAGCCTAGCAGCAAGGAATCATCATTTCTAAGAATAGAAAATGCCAAAATTGGTTAGGTTTAGTTATCTGTCTTCTGGTACATCTTCTTTTTATTTTTTGGGTATGAGGACAACAAAGCCCAAAAAGAAAACTAACTAGAGAGAGGGGAATGTTCGTCAAATTTTAAAAATTAGATAACTAGGTACAATGGAACCAGTTTATGAATGCTAACTCTTTGATTCATACAATTTTTTTAAAAATAATTCTTATTTAATCTATTTTGAAACTAAAAAGACCTTAGAAAAAACAAAACACAAAAAAGGAACCAATAGATAAAGTTTTGATATTTTAATTAAGGGTAAAATATTTCTCCAGTTAATAAAAATAAGTTAACTTCAATTAACACAAAACAACGTCGTTTTGTGCCAAAAATCAAGGTGTTTTTATAATTCTAATTTATTGCAGAGTTATATTAATCTTTATCATAATAATTTTTTAATCTTACAATCCCAAAATAACGTCATTTTAAGCTCACTAAAGAATGAAGATAACTTTATCTCCACTAGAGAAATACTTTTCCCACTTTTTCCCTATATTTTTTGTTTTGCTTTCAACATTTTCTTTAATATTGAATTAAAAGTTTCCTCATATATCCTTTCTTTATATATTTATGAACTTAAATTTAGTTATAATTTTAGAATTTTAGAACTGATACCAAACTAAGGAAGTTAAAAGGAATATGTTTCTACTTGTATCATGCAACACACAAAAGTAGGGGTGACAATTTAGGTTGACCCGTCCCGCCCCGCCCCCAACCCGCCAAAAACGGGGCGGGGCGGGTTGACCCGCCAAAAATATGGGTTGTAAAAATGAACCCACCCCGTTTTATGGTGGGTTGGCGGGTCAACCCACCAACCCGCCAATTAAAAAAAATTATTTAAAATTCAAAAATAAATTATATTTTATGAATTTTTTTAATTTTATTTTATTTTATTTCACACTTCTCTATATTTTTTTTAGTCTCAATCTTAAATGTATACTAATATTTGTCAAACATTCTTTAGGAATTTATAAATAGATAACATTTGTCATAAATAAAATTGTTATTCTTTATCTTTTCTAGAAAGTACTAAGATAAAAAAAATTGAATATCACAAAAATTTAAGTACTAATGAAATACTTTCTAACTGTAAAAAAATAATAAAAAAATTTAAAACCCGACGGGTCAACCCGCCCCACAGCGGGTTGAACCCGTTTTGACCCACTTCTAGACGGGGCGGGTTGAGGTGGGTTGGTGGGTTGAAAATCTCAACCCAACCCGCCCCGTTTTGGCGGGTTGACCCGCCGGGCTCAACCAAGAGTGAATAAAATCCACTAAGAAAAAGAAAAAGAAATTAAAATAAATGAGCCCATCCACTTTTTGTATGTTCGTTATGAAAGGCATATTTTCTTAAAACTAATTACAAAATAATATATTTATATATTTAGTTCTTCTTAAACATTTTTAACCAAATTTAAGGGTTGAGAAACAGCTAAAAATGACCCCCCTTATGAATAACCGAACGAAATACCTGCTCGGATCGATTCTAGTAACATAAGACATCGCTGGATTAATTTCCAAATTATGCCTCGTAAGAGAATCCTAGTAATACATTTTTCGACATACTTCTTTTAACACACTATTATTAAATAAATTTCATGCGAATTCTACGAGATGAAAAATGGGCCTAAATGATTTGACAAGATTTACATGAAATTCAGTCAATAACAAAGTGTATTCAAAAGACTGTGTCAAGAATGTGTTGATCCCTCATGCCCAGCAATAACCCCAATGGTGTGCCTCTCTATGTAAATGTATGTGACAGTAGCTTGGAGCCTTGGACAGTTCAGACGCCTTCTACTAAGCTAGAAAGCAGATGACGTAACACATATCCTTCACAGCAAGGAAATGCAATTTTTATGTTCCTTGCCCATGTAAGCCTAGTAAATACACAACTCCGCCCAAAGAAAGCTGTCAGTGCTAAGTTTTCTTGAAAATCCTAGAATAAAAGCACTGAGGGGTGCCTCTGAACACACATCCGCAGACTGTACATAAGCCATTGTTCCAATTGAAACCATCAACTTCCAAGTTAATCCATCCATGAGGAGAGACCCAGCAGTTGACAAGACAAAAAAAGTTTGACATAGACTCCGGATGTATATAACTATCTAATCGTTTACATTGGAGTACATACCAAACTTCTTTAATAAAATAAGTTTTATAATTTAATATAGTTTTAAAAAAAAAAATTCAAAGAACTCTGAATAATCCACGGAGCTTTTCTTAGCATTATCCTAATCAAAATCTAAAATTCAGAAAATAAAAAGATACCCTCAAAAGCAGGCTTAAACTTCAACCACTAATGGGTCATTGTCAACCAGAAAAAGAGGGTCATGTGAAATTTTAACTTTCGATGATCCATTTCTGCATGTCCCGGTTAGTGTCCAGATTTATAGAGGTAAGTATAACAAATTATATAATAAGGACGATTACGTGAGAAAGGAAAGGTAGAAAGACTACACGCTACTAAGCATCGGACTATTCTGCACATTATCACTCATAGAGGAGGGTAGAAGTATGAAGACAAGGAAAAGCCAAGGAAAAGCAAGCCACCTATTGTGGCTACTGTGCGTTGGGAAATCTTAGATGCCAGCATACTTCCTCCCACCACTGCCAACGAAGTACAGATGGTATGTCCAACAGTGGCCCCAGCTGCCACTCCCAGTGCATTTTTGTGTGTTGCCAGCTAGAGAATGAAATTAGAAGCCATAAAAATTCAAAGCTACTACTATATGACAAATACAGGGGGGGAAAATGACTACTAGTAGGCAAAAAGTAAAAAAGATCATAAGACAAAATCTAACACGAAATCAGAACAAAGAACAGGAACTCAAAAAATCAGGCTTCTTACTGCAATTGTTGCAATCTGGCTACGATCGCCCCATTCAGCAAGGAATGTCAAAACAAAAGACTGCAAAAATGAGGATAATAGATGAGATTATTATCTTACAATTATAAAAAATATTTGATAAAAATTACAGTTAAAAGATTAGCTGCAAGATATGCACTTGCCTCCAAAAATATTGGTGTACAAAATCTTGAAAAGAAGCGTCGAAATGTTGTTTTCCCTTGTCCACCTTCAAGTTTCTCCTCTACCTAATTAACACAAGAAAATTCAATGAAAATTCCAAATTTGACCACAAAACCGACGGGTATTTCTTCTTCTTCTCTCTGTGTGTGTTTGGCGCAGGCAGCCGGGGTTGGTTAGGAAGCAATATATTTCAATGATTAAACAAAATATCAACTGAACCAAGTCAACCAACTAATTGATCAAAATTCATATGTTGAACCACTGCTGTTTGCTTATAGGTAATTTAAAGAACCTCCTCCTGATGGAAAAGTGACAATGTGTGGAGGAACAGGGACAGTACAATAATGAAAGCAGTGACTTAGCAACTTGCAGGTTCGTCAAAATTGTAGCTCCTGGCATATTTACCATCATTGGAATATTGAATTTGAAATTGACCTTAATACATGAATGGCCACAGGAATAAACACGCAATATTATGATGAGTATTTTACTATAAAAGAATCAATAAAAACATACTTCTTCCATTTCTTTCTTCTGTGAAGATTTAGAATCTGATCTCCAAGCAATATACAGTAACCTTAGCCCAAAGAAAGCATAAAGAACTGCATAAGATAAAATTGATAGGCTTAGCTTCACATGATCATACATGAAAATTGAACTTACAAGTGAAAGGAAAACCAATCCATAATAACAAGAAAATGTAAACAAAAGTCAACGTTGAAGTCACTAAGGCATTAACGTTTAATGGTAAGCCAATATGTGTGTAAGTGTGTATATATATTTGCTTACAATTGGTTGAGTAGTACATAAATTTGAATTGTAAAACCACACATAAATCTTAATGCATGTGTTAATACCATTCATAGCCTCTCGCTTTCTATTGCTAATAAAAAGCCTAAACTATTTTTAAGCAAAGCATGCACACAAAACCCCCATATGAACATAACCCAAGTACACAGAAAATGAAGCTATGTCCATCATTATTCTAGACATTTGGCATAGTTAAGAATCAGAGCAAACCCTGAGGGCTGCACAGCGCGCACAAAAGGAAACAGATTAGAATTACAAAAAAAAAAAAAAAAAAAAAAAAAAAAGAAAGAAAAATTATTACACCTTCATTTTGCTGCTGATAATAGATTATAGTGGTAAATATTCAAACCAGGGAATTTTACCTGTAGCAGCACTATTTGTATGCTTCCTTGAAATCAAATTCGGCACAATCCTACCTAGTCCTGTAGAAAGTACCTAATTAACACGTACAACAACTTTAATCTTAATAACATCAAGAATAAGCATTATAGCAGTCAGGCATGCTCTATAGTACCCGAAACCATTCCATCACAACACCATGCAAAATGCATCCTATTGATCAGAATCACAAAGCAGCAGGAACATTAAATATAAAACATGATTACTAATACCATGACACACTTGCACTTACTGTCATTATAAAGAGAGCACATAGCGCACCCGATAAAACAATTGACTTAGGGTGACGCATAGCCATAAGAGCTGCTATTATAAATGTCTCATCCCCAATCTAACATCAAAAGGAAAAATCATTAGAAATAACTCATATGGCGAATATAACGTGAGGTGGTAGTAGTAGTAGTAGTAGTAGTGGTAGTAGCAGGGTTAAACTAACCTCACTGACAAGGATCATTGATAGACTAGCGAAAAAGGCATCAAAGAGTCCAAGGCCAGTGGAATCAATAGGAATAGGAAGACCAACATTGTCTAGATTTTTCAATAAAATCTGTACACAGAAACTTGTATATATCAAATCAATAATAACAAACAACTATGAATTGTGACTGATGAGAGGTAAGGTTCTGTTTGTATTTGATTTTGATTGACTTTTTTTTTACTTTTCTTTATATGCAATTGAATCGTATAAATTATTACAAAAATAGAATAATAATAATAATAATAATAATAATATGAAGCGATGCTCACTTTTTTGGTACGGCGTCCCAGATCCAGAGACACAGCAGCAGAGTCTTCGTTATCGGTCTCAGCCAGAGAACCCTATGTATAATTTTATCATACTCTCATACACGACACAATCACAATTCACAATTCACAATTCACAATTCACAAAAACGAAACGCATGAGAGAGGTGAGCCTCACTCACCTGAGCAATCCACAACAAGAGAAGGAAGAGGTAAAGAGTGAGAATGCTTCGTAGACCCATCAAGTTCTCAATCTACGATTCAATTGAGTTTCAGACAATATTCAAATAGATTAACATTGCTGGGACTGGGAGACATTGAATTTATATGGTTTTTTTTTTCACGTTTCTCAACCAAACCTCAGAAACGAACGAATACGACCCAGGATCATGTGTCGTTTTATCCACGTCATAATTTTTTTCTCTTTTTTATTGGAAATTTATAAATAACTATATTAATCATGTAAATTAAGCTGGTAAAGACACATGGTTTTGCCTTTCCATATAGCTTATTTACTTGAGAGTTGGGCACTATAACAAAAAAAATGGTCTTTTGAGTTCTGAAAATGCGGCTGAATGAACGCCATTTGCGTGCGCTCTTTGGACGTATATTGACAATTGAGAGAGAGAAGGAAGAGGGAACATAGACCATTTTGTCATGTTTGGACAAAAAAATTATCAGACTGCCACACCAATAGTAAATTTTGTCAAAATATCATGCGGCATAATTCGCTACACAGTATAGCGAATTATGCATGCAAGTAATTCGCTATACAGTGTAGCGAAATATACCACGTCAGAACCAAAAATGTCACATGTCAAATTTTGAGAAATTCGCTACCATGTGTAGCGAATTTCTCAAAATTTGACATGTGTCATTTTTAGTTCTGTGCATTCTGATGTGGCATATTTCGCTATACTATGTAGCGAATTACTTGCATGTATAATTCGCTACACTGTGTAGCAAATTATGTCGCATGACATTTTGACAAAATTTACTGTTGACGTGGCAGTCTGGTAATTTTTTTGTCCAAACGTGACACTTTGGTCACTGTCCCAAGGAAGAGACACAATATGAAAATAGAGAACGAAGAAAGGTGAAGAGTGAGAATTTAAGTGTTTGGATGAAAAAAAATTCACCTTTAAGGAGTCGTTTGGTACGCGGCTTTTTTAAGGATTCCGGTGAAATTGAATTTTTCTAAATTTTTAATTTTCGGATATTATGATAAACTGAATATTTTGATCATATTTTTAAAAATTGAAATTCCTGGATAAAAATTTTTTTATCCTCTACCAAACGTTCCCTAAGTGAAAAGTGGAGATAATGCACGGGTTTAAAAAAAAAAAAAATTTGGGTTTACTTTATGTTAAACTTTTAACTTTTTTCTATTAGAAAATAGAGACAATTAAAGACGATCTTAGGAGAAAATGGTGAGGTATATAGTAGGGTAAATATTTCCCTTATCTGTATTGCATGATGCCTTAAATGTTCTACAGTATTATTGGTTCCATTAAGATACGAGGTTGTGTGACTCCTCACTATAAAGATTAAGCAAGCATTTGGATGAGGATAATCAAGTGTAAAAAAAATTATTTCTTTTAATGAATTGGTAAACTGGTCCTATCAGGAGATGTCCAGACAGATTCATACGGCCCGTCTAGAACAACATGAATGTAAAATAGTTGCAAATGTAGTTGCCAACATCTTAGTTTTCTATGTGGACCTGGTGTAATAAAGGAACAACTCCATTACTTTTTTTGGTACATGGGACAACTCCATTTTTTTAATTTTTTGCATGGGACAACTCCATTTTTACTTTCTTGTGGTTCCATTTAACCCATGTGGTTTAAAACTTATTATTTAGACCCCTTGCGATTTCATATGTGTCACTTAAGTTCTTGAATGTAAAAGATATTTTTATTATATAAAATATCAAAAATATCAAAAATAGATGAAATAATAAAATTTAAAAGAATGTAAAAAATACCCCTACTTAAGAACAAAACCCTAAAATATTATATAAATTCAAATACATAAAATATATAAATTTTGATTGTTCACAAATGAAAGTATATATAAAATTTTAATTTGTATAAATAAATTTATATATATAATATATAAATTTTGATTGTTCACAAATGAAAGTATATATAAAATTTTAATTTGTATAAATAAAATTATATATATATATATTAAATTAAAATATTACATAACGAATTAAATTAAACATGATTTTTAAATTTGTAAAAAAAATATTCATATAAACCAAGCATAAATCCAACAAGAGAAAATAAAATATACTAAAATGACCTTACAATTAATTAATCAATTTAAATTAATTATTCAAGGAACAATTAAACATAAGTCAAACATGTGTTTGCAACTTTCAGATAGCAGTTAAACTAGAGCAATCTAATAATTCATATAAATCAAACATAAATATAACTCATTTTTAATATTTTACCAACCAAATAAATTAGGTAAATTACATATCATTATTAATTTTCAATAATAAGAATATACTATGCAATTTAAATTGACAACAATAATTTCAATTATAAAACATTAATTTTACACAAATTGAGATTTTAACTTGCAACAAAATAATATACGTTCATTACATTTCACTTCTGAATTATCAAAATATAAATTTTACAGGTTTTATCATTTTAACGTAGCAAATGATGATATATCTTTATATTATTTCGCTTTAAAACTATTTTATATGTGATATTTAGGGAATGATTCATTTACAAACTATTCTGTTTTCATTGTAAATTCTTGAACATAACAAGTACTGTAATTTGGCTGTTTCAGAGATTAACTTGACCTTCATTGTACCAGCTGTAGATTCTAAAATGGAGATGGTTGGGAAGAATACCTAGATAGCACTACTAAAAAATGTTATTTTTTCGACGGAAAAATTTTGTTGAAAATGGTTAAGATTTTGTCGAAAATGAAGTTTTTGAAGGAATTATCGACGAAAATGAAGTCGTCGAGTATCTCTTCGTTGGTGATGATTTTTTCGACGGAATTAGCGATTCAGTCGAAAATTTTCGACAAAAAATGAATGAAATTCAGTCAAAAAAACTTGTAGTAATTTTCGACGAAAAACAAATTCCGTCGAAAATTTTCGACGAAAAATGAATGAAATTCCGTTGAAAAATCTTGTAGTAATTTTCGACGGAAAATGAATGAAATCTCATCGAAAAAAACTTGTATTAATTTTCGACGAAAAATATATTTCGCCGAAAATTTTCGACGAAAAATGAATGAAATTCAGTCGAAAAATCTTGTAGTAATTTTTGACAGAAAAGAAATTCTGTCGAAAGTTTTCGACGGAAAATGAATGAAATTCCGTCGAAAAATCTTGTAATAATTTTCGACGAAAAACAAATTTCGTTGAAAATTTTTGACGGAAAATGAATCAAATTCCGTAAAAAAATATTGTAATAATTTCAACGGAAAATGAATGAAATTTCGTCGAAAACTATTCTATCAATTTTTGAAGAAATTGATTTTCCATCAAATTTTTTTTTTTAAATTTCTATCTACAAAATTAATATCAATTTATGTTTTGCACCTAATAAACAAATATAATTAAAGTTGATAACATATGAAAAAAGACCTACATACACAAAAGTCTGTGTTATATACTAATCAAAAGAAACCTATATATATAATATCCAAGACACATACTAATCAAAAGGGATATACATACAAAAGTCTCTGTCATATACTAATCAAAAGAGTCCAACATCTATGAATGTTCAAGACATATACTAATTAAAAGGCACATACATATACAAAAGTCCATGTCATATAAAAATCAAAAGAGTCATAATCAAAAGGGACATACATATACAAAAGTCATTGTCATATACTAATCAAAAGAGTCTAATATCTATAAATGTCCAAGATATATACTAATAAAAAAGGACATACATAATTTACCAAAAAAAAAAAAAGGACATACATATACAAAAGTCTCTGTCATATACTAATCAAAAGAGTTCTATATTTATAAGTGTCCAAGACATATACTAATCGAAAGGGACATACATATACAAAAGTCTCTGTCATATAGTAATCAAAACAGTCCATGTAAATAGTCCATGTCATATATATCCAACCAAGATACAAAAGACATGCTGGTGGATGACGTGCATGATCATGGTCATCATCTAGGTCCTGAGACGGGGGCTGAGTCTCGTCGTCATCCTCAGTATCTAAAAATGTCTCAGGAAGCCTTCACATAAGCTTCTCCATTTTATCCATTCGCCTCTGCATCATATCCATGATGTTGTGCTTAACCCTTTTTTGTTGTTGTGCAAACCTCTCCTCTTGTTGTGCAGCCCTCTCCTCTTGCTGTGCAACTGTACCTTGCAACTGCATAATCAATGTGCGCATCCTGTCATGCTCAAGCTGGGACACTCCAAGTGGTAGTCTGCTGGAAAACCGAGATTGCTTATATGCTCCTGCCCGTGTACCTAAACCGTAGACCCGACCTTTACGGCTAACCCTACCAGCCGCCTGCAAGATTAATTCATTATCCGAGACTACAGTGCAAGCATTCTCTCCTAGAGTGACCTAACTGTCTCTCTCTTCCATCATTCTCGTAAAGTCATCCTAATAAAAACATAAAACAAAATTGTTGTGTTAAAGTCAAGTGTATTAAAAGTAATCAGCTTTCGATGTTAATATAATGTTGTAAAAATCAATAATACTCACAGTTATTGCCTTTCCTCTTTCATTGCACCACCTGTCACGGTCATTTGTAGATGTGTGTGTATGCTTGAACACAACCCAATCCACAACGGACAAAATTCATTTTATGATTTATTTTTTAATATATTTTTGACAGAATTCATTTTCCATCAGTAATTTTTGACGGAATATAATTTCCGTTGAAAACTTCGACAGAATACATTTTTCGTCGAAATTGTCGTGGTTAATTTTGATGGAATTTTTTTCGTCGAAAAATTTTGTAGAAAATTATGACTTTTCTAGTAGTGTAGATCAAAAATCTCATTATAGATGTCGTCGAAGGAAGCATGATTGTAGAATGTTGATGCATTGAGATAAGTATAGCCGATCTTTCCTTCAACATGGGACTGGAGCCGGCTTCTTTTCTGGTTTATATGATGCTACATACCCTTGTCCTTACCCATTCGCCAAATCAATGTTCGAAGTGGGATAATTTAGCTTATGTAAATTTCGATCCAAATATTAAAGTGATCTACTTACTGATTTATGATGAAGAAATGTGTAAGGATGCAAAAGCATCGCGCTTTTCATATTTCTTTGTTTGGGATGTGTACCACTACCATTTATAATCTCACTTATACAAATTTGTAGAACACATGAAAAAAAAAATCACAATGAAGAACATACTTATAGAGGTGACAAAATGTGCTAACCCGACCTGATTCGCCAAAATCAGGGCGGGGCGGGTTGACCCGCCGTTTGATGGGGATGTGAAAATGTCAATTCATCCCGTTTTGAAGGTAGGTTGTCGGGTCAACCCCTAGAAATAAAAAATAATTAAAAAATTATATTTTATTAAATTTATAATATTACTTATTTTCATTTCATACTTTCCTTAATTTTTTTTTTCAATCTCAAGCCTAATTATAAACTAATATTCAGCCAGACATTTTTTAAGAACTTATTTTTGTCTTTATATATAGATAACCTTTGTTATAAATAAAGTTTTTCTTCTTTATTTTTTCTAAGGGTTATTAAGATAAAAAATTTATATCACAAAAGTTTAGTGATAAATAAAATACTATCTAATAGTAAAAGTAAAAATAAAAGAATGATCTGCAGACCAACTGCTACCAACCTATTTTGACCCATAACTACGCGGAACAGGTTGAGACAAGTTGGTGGATTGAAATGTATAACTCAACCCGCCCTGTTTTGGCATGTGGTGAGTTGACCCATTGGATTCAACTCATATTACCACCTCAAATCATATTATTTTGGAAATTAAAAAAATTAATGAAAGGTACCTTTATAAAATTTATATAATAAAAATAAATAAAAATATCAAAATATCCTTTATTGATTTCCCTAACTTTTAACATAATCATATAGTTTTGGGATATTTATATGTAATAAATATCTATGACAAACAATAAATAAATCTATATGTATTATATATTATGCGTGTGTCACCATCAACACCACGCAACCTCACCCTCCCACGAGCTTTTTCCTTACCCTTTTCAAAACCAATGGTTCGTATTTTGATTATCCACTGTTTTTGCCTTTTTCTCCCTTTCTCTTCGTGCACCAATCACCGTACGATCATGAGTAGTATCAACTATCAACCCAGCTGATTCGGTGTGCGTTTTTTTTGTCCTATTAAAAAAGAACAAATTCAACAAAAAGAAAAAGGAAAAAAGAAAAACCGTGGAAAGGCGGAGAGAAACAAGGAGAGGGGGGAGTTTGTGGTTTGAGTTTGGCGGCAGCAATGAATGATGCGATGGTGGGAAAAGCAGCGCGTGTTGATCACATTTTAAATAAAAAAATAAAAAATAATGGTTAATTAAATGGAGAAAAGTCAAATATTAAATAGTATAATAATAATAAAAAAATAATGGATTAAAAAAAAGAAAAAAGAAAAAGAGAGAAAAAGAGAAGGTACGTGTGGAAGGAGGGGAGCGAGTAGAGAAGATGGTTGGTTTGTGGAGAGGAGAAGTTTCTGTTATTTTTGTTTGTCAATCTCATTAATGGTGAGGTGAGGAGAGGGAAGTAAGTAGGAAATGAGAATTGAAGGTGGTGAACGATGATGCTCAGCCTCATCGTACCTATTCCTCATGGTCATGGATTTCCACGCCGCAATTCCCATGTCCCAAGCGGCCCTCACTCAAGGTTCTTTTTCTTTTTTATGTTTTTTTTTTCTCTTTCTGATCGCTGTAATTTTCACAATTCACGATCACCCTCACTATTCTTCTTCTTCATCTCCTTCTTTTTTTTAAAAAAAAAAAAAAAAAATCCTATTTCATTCACCCTTTTCATCCCAAGCTTCAATCAATCAATAAATTCAATTCTATCATAATCATTCCCATTTCTTGAATATGCACTGAATTTATCATCTTCCGGAGGAAATAAATAAAATTTAACATTTTTGGGCCATAACAATACATAAACGCTTCTCTTCATGTTCCCTGATCTGAGCTCCTTTTGGGAATGTTGTGCCATTTGCTTCATCCTAGGATCAGGAGATATGATATGTTCAATTAAGATTAATTTTACTTTCCTACTTTAAACTAGTATGAGAGTATTTCATTCAATTTATAGATTTTTGTAGTTGTAAAGTTAGATACTTGTACAAGTTTCGGGAAAAAACTTTTGGTAAACACTATTAATCAAGGTTCCGTTTCATGCAAGCATTTTAAGCCTTCTTCCTTCCCTACCAGTTTTTTCTACAGCATAGCCGTAGGCTCATTGCATTCTGACAGGAACATCGATATAAGACTGGAATGTACTTGAAATTTTGATTTAATCCAGGATGGACCCTTAGTGGGCCCAGCCGTGGTAGGAAGGATCCCCTCTTTTAAGCGGATCATGTCCATTTTTTGGGCATGCTTACTCTGTTCTTCCATATATCAGATACATAATCTTAAGCCAAAGTTTGTATTTATGTATTATATTGAGGGAAATAAAAGATCTCAGACATTGTGATTTGTGTATACATTGATGAGGTTATCACACTTGTATTACTCCATTCACTCATTTACGGGTTTAGATTATGCTCATTTTGAAAATTTGGCTTATTCATGTGATGGTATTTCAGATGCACTGTGGCTATTGAGGTCAACTGAAACAATGGAATCTGGAACTTATCCGGAGCGTCCAGGGGAGCCAGATTGTTCATATTACATCAGAACAGGCCTTTGTAGATTTGGTGCAACATGTCGATTTAACCATCCTCCTAACAGGAAGCTGGTATAAGTTGCAATGGATTTGTACAAATTGTGTTCATAAATTTGTAATATGTGTGTTCAAATTAGATATTGTTGATGCATAATTCTCTTTGTTTTTAGATGGATTCATTTTAAAGCATTACTATTATCACCATAAAATCTACCTAGGTGATGGGAGCAATGCGTAGTTGAAACTTGATACTATTTGTTTTTGTCCTCTAATATTCTTTGTCCAACACATACGCTTTTCTTAGTTTGTTCCTATTCAAAGCACATGCATTTCTATTCATTTTATTAGATCATTACACTATTTTAGCAAACAAAGAAAGACGCACATACCAGGGAGGATATCACTCTGTTTTTTATTCCATCCTTGATGCAGCACTCATTATTAGCTTGGGTGTGTAGTATGCAGTTTTTGTTTTTCTCTTTGCAGGTGTATAGAAATTTTTTATGAATGTTCACATGTCAATAAACATATGCATGTTCTTTTGCATCAGTAAATTTCATGGAGCTGGGATACATAATGATGAATTTGCCATGCTTTTCTGTTGGTGATTTTTATTTTGATGTCACTCTATTATGTGGAGAATATGGATACCTGATAAGTTTTACTGTGAATACCTTCAGGCTATTGCCGCTGCAAGGATGATGGGCGAGTTCCCGGAAAGAATAGGGCAACCAGAATGTCAGGCATGTACTAGTTTCTCAATGTGTGCATAAGGTGCATATGGCTTCTTTATGTGTAAGATAGGGGAATTTGCCTTTTTTAAGGTTGCGCTTAGAAATTTCTCAAAATCGTAGCGGTCTTTATTTTGGTAATTGCAAGGCAAGCCTAACAGTAAATTGGAAGTGTAAATGCAGTGGTAGTGGAGGTAGGGGAAAGGGACAAACTGTCAACTTGTGTTGCATGCCATCTTGTTTTCTGGAATTGTTTATTTGGGTTTATGTGAAAAAGTGGTATACTTTAGGTAGAAAGTTAAGATAATTGTTGTTGCTTTGTGTATAGATGACTTTCCCTAGATTTTGAGGCAATTGGTTTAGGTCTATTTAGAATTAGTTCAATTTAGCTTTCATGGGGCTAAAAACCAGTAAGGCAATATGTAATCTCACTCTAAATCATCAGTGAAGTTGGTGGTCTTTCCTGGCCTTGCATGGGGGCATGATTACCTTAATCTGAACTTTTATAAACCAAAAGAAAACCAGTTAAACAATTTACAAGTTAAGGTGGGTTAAAATAAAATCTTATCCTTGTCTTTCTTAAGAAATGATTGTTCTTTATATTTATATGCTGTACATCCCTTACTAGCTTATAGTAATTCTTGATTTAAGCGTTGATATCATAATGAATTCTAGGCAGCAAATGATTTCGTATCAAACTATAAATACTTGTTTTGGTCAGATTTTCTTTTTTGATTTTGTAATTGGTGATCTGTACGAGTCACATTGATGTTAACATCAACCTTGTTCTGTTGAGCACTAATTTGTGTCTTGAGATATGATATCTCTGTGTTCTTTGTTTTAAACATTCACCATAACAAAAACACTTTTCTCTGCCTTTCAGTACTATCTGAAGACAGGAGCTTGCAAATTTGGAGCCACATGCAAGTTTCATCATCCTAGAGACCAGGCTGGGATTGCTGGAAGAGTTTCCTTAAATATTTTAGGCTATCCGCTCCGCCCTGTTAGTTTTTAATATTTCTCTCTCATTCATCTTTAAGTATGACTAAGACCATAATTGTTCATAAATTTGTGTAGCCATTAACTTTTCTGACCCACTTTTAGACCTGCAATTAATTCAGATATTGCTCCTAAATGTCCTATTTATATTTTCCAAAATTTTGCATTATTCATGTAGCTATTTAATATCTGACACATGAACCTTTTATAGATATTTTGTTTTCTTTCTGGGATTGTTGATATCAATGGTCTTATAACTTACTTTATATTTTCTCTGTTTCGTACTTCTGCAGAATGAGCCTGAGTGCACTTATTATTTGAGAACAGGACAATGCAAATTTGGGAACACTTGCAAATTCCACCATCCTCAACCAAGTAATATGATGCTTTCATTACGGGGTTCTCCTGTTTATCCTACTGTCCATTCTCCAAATACACCAGGTCAGCAGTCATATGCAGGAGGAATTACAAATTGGTCAAGGGCATCTTATATTCCTAGTCCGCGCTGGCAAGGTCCTTCAGGTTATACACCTTTAGTTCTCCCTCAGGGAGTGGTTTCAGTGCCTGGGTGGAGTGCATACAGTGTAAGCTCACTCATCCATTCTTCCTTATAAGTCGTAAAAAATAAGTAGAAAGTGTTATTCTATGTTTGTGGCTGATTACAAGGCACACTATATCAGTATTATGTTAAACATGTATAGAAGATCATTTGTTTCCATCATTTATGCTTCCTTTTGGATTTTGGACAGTCGTTGTTGCATAGTAGTTAATTGTGCCGCAATAGCCCCGCGAGCCTCGCCGCAAGAACGCACCGCGCCGGAACGCAATAGCGGCCATTGCGATCGCATTTGCGGCCATATTGCTGTCATAAGGCAAAATGTTAAATTTGTCCTAAATTTAAATGTGTAACAGAAAAAATTTAAGTGTTTTTTAGTCTATCCGCGTCTCTCTCTATCATTTCTGCTATCTTTGCCTTTAAAAAATGTTTCTTTTTGTCATTATTTCTGTCATATATCTATTCCGCTATTTCCGCAACCGCAACCCGCTATAACGCTATAGTGTTTTTAGGAGTTGGCCGCGACATGCCGCGATCCGCATTTGATAACTATGCGTTGTTGCATGTCTGTAGTCTACATTCTTAACATTGTAGTGCCAGTAACATGTATTCCCATCCCTTGAACCTGTCTCTAGAGCCATTATTCCTCTCTAAAATTGAAGCTGTACTTGTGTTGACTTGAAATTTCATCGTATTTGTTTTTCTTAACTGAATGATCAGTCCTTTTAACTTTTAGTAATAATGCAACATGGCACCTATGCATCTCCCCTGTTTTGCTAGAACCTGCCATTGCTGAGACATGTCAACATACTAATGGAGTATTTGCTTTGCAGGGTCAAATGGGATCAATCTCTAATCCAGACAGTCCACATCAAACAATGGGAAATGGTCAAACTTATGGAACTTCTCGCCAAGTTGAACTAGCAAATGCAGGATCACATGGGGCATATTCTCAATTCCGTTCTGGCACCATTCCTGTAGGGTTTTATGCATTGCAGAGGGAGAACGTATTTCCTGAGAGACCTGGTCAGCCTGAATGCCAATTTTACATGAAAACAGGAGATTGTAAGTTTGGAGCAGTCTGTCGGTTCCACCACCCGCGTGAGAGGCTAATTCCTGCTCCTGACTGTGTCTTGAGTCCTATAGGCCTCCCTTTACGTCCTGTGAGTTTAGTTCTATCTACCAAATTGGTTTTTCATAGGCTTAAATTTCATTATATCTCAATTTATACTTCAGTATAGTTCTGTAGGTTTTGAGTTTGGTGAGGATTTGAACAAGAATCAGTCTTCTTAATATTTCTTGTGGTTTCTTTGATTTGTTTCTCTATTATTCTTTCGTTGTCTCTAATTTGGATTTGGATCCTCGCCTTTTTTCTCCTAATAGCCTTGTCATTTTCGGACAGACTTAGACACAACAGAGGGACTCTATGAATAAATGATGTTGTGCAGGAAATGTGTGTCCCCTAGTTTAGTGTGTTGTCTCTCTCTGTCTCTCCTAATGACATTATGACACAACTATGTTAAGAGCTAAAATGAGCAACAGTGTTTACACCACTTTAAATAGCTAGTAACTTATGCTTCCCTTGCTAGTAATTTGCTATTCTATGTTAACTTTTCTTGTGTTGATAACATTTTTTTTTTCAATGTTTAAAAACCTATTTCTAAAGTTATCACGACAGAATAGCTAGGTACTCGAAAGCCAAGAACAAGTAACTAGCAAGAGTGAAATGGTGTAAGATTTACATTTCTTTTGTGGTGAGCAAGTAAAATTTTTGTAAACTGAATATCCAAATCAGTCTTACTAAATTTTATTAGAAAGTGGCATGCCTGAGTTCTACAGATAACATTCTATTAATGTCTAAAATCGTAGTACATAGCAAACCTAATGTTGAACTATGCATGTGGAATTACACTGATGCTTGAATCATTGAATGTGGACGTTGAGTAATTGTAGTTTATGTCTAACCATAATTTGAAGCCAACTTAAGATGGAATGGTTTGAAGCAATTATAAAATTGAAGACATGAGAGATGATGAAGACAATGCTAATCATTGAGTTGTTTGCAGTATGATTTTTCCTTGTTAAAAAACCACTCCCCAGTATGATTTTTCCTTGTTATTTTATCTAAATCAAACTATGGTCTCTGATAGCACTGGAGTCACTCCCTATAGTTCTTGATTTATCATATCACTCACAGATATATGTGTATAGTGTGATTGTGATATTATTTCCTTTTTCAGAATATGTGTGAATTCTGTAGAGTATCTTCATTTATGCACTTCTTTTTCTTCAGTAAAGTGAATAAATGTATCAAAAAATATATGTTTGTAGTAATTGGAGAAAATGGGAAGATCTGCAAATATTTGTGTCATTATTCTCTTCACATTAGTTTGATCTTGTGATTGAATTAGTACATCCTGATAGAGGCAGTGTCCCATTTCCTACAGGGAGAGCCTTTATGTGTCTTCTATTCACGCTATGGCATATGCAAATTTGGCCCAAGTTGCAAGTTTGACCACCCAATGGGAATTTTCACCTATAATATATCTGCATCGCCTTCAGCTGATGTCCCAGGCCAGCGTCTGTTCGGATCTTCATCGGGAACTGCTGCATTAAATTTATCATCAGAAGAACTTGTTGAGTCAAGCTCAGCAAAACCAAGGAGGCTTTCATTGTCAGAGACAAGACAGATTCCTTCTGGTGATGATGACATTGATGATGATGATGATGATGAATGATGTCTCTTGGAAATGGGTGATTTGACTTTTACAAATTTTTTTTGAGGGGAGAAATGTGTAATCTGTAAATTATATTCCCATTGCTGGAGATGTACAGAGGTTATGTCAAGTTGATTCTGTCATTCTGAAATTAGATGCAGTGAACAGATTCAATTGTTCTGGATTTCATGTCGCCACATTGTATAAATTTAAGCAAATATTGTCACATTCGGTCAAACCCAACGTGAACAATCTTTCTGTCCTTAAGACGCAAGTCTTTCTAATTAACTTTGCCCATTATGTAAAAAATATCTTTTTGGATTTCTGTATTGACCAAAATTTACCTCCTCTGTGAATCTTTATTGGATGCAGGTTTGAAACTCATTTCATAGCCTGTACTTTCTCAATAAAGTTGGGCTTATGCTGTCTACTGTGCATATATAGAATTCTTTTTCAGTAGCAAGCCAGTAGGATCATCGATAGCTTTCTACTTTTTATATTCTTATACATTCTTACCAGAATTTAACTGAAGTCCAGTGAAATCAACCATAATTGTGTATATCTGTATAAATAACAACTGCTTGAATGTAATTTCAATCTGTACTTCTATTTTCTCATGATTTTTTTTATGTTATCTGTAGTGATTTCCTTGATGGAGTTTGTTTTGCAGAAGTTGAGGGGTAGAGTCTTGACTGTGAATGTTGGAGGCAGTCAACACAAATGGGACTTTGTTCTAATAGAAAGTGCTCTGGGGTTCTGCCTACAAACTGCTTGGTCCGATTAAAGATGGGTGGATTACTGGTTCTTGGATGCTCTTTTCTGCTTGGAGTTGGGTTTGCAGTTCACATGCAACAAATCATAATCTTGATTTTAAATATTTAATGGAGGCCTTGGGAAGTGGCATTTCTGTCGTTGAAGATAACATTTATTTGATGTATTGCTCACCAATTCTTGTTCATTTATGAGTAAACTTAAGCAGGTACTGAGTCGATTCCTTCTTTCATTGTTTTCTGATTTAAAGATAACATTGTCTTGAGAGTTCATTGTGGTAGTTTGCAGTATATCTGAAATGCGGAATTTATTGGATTTGTCCCCTCAGTTTATTATTATCCTTGATATAATTTCTAACCATTGCTGCAGAATAATTGCATGCAGCACTAGGTTTGTCATGTCGAGTGAGTAAAGAATGGAATGGCTTCACTGGTTACGGCATTTCTCTATTTTAAGCTTTTGTTTCGTGTAATAAACGAAATATGTGAATTAGTCACTAGAGCTCAACCCATTATGTGTTGTTTTCATGGGTTTTGTTGTTGGGAGGAACGAGTTTGGGTTCTGCTTAGATTATTACTATTCGCTAAGTTACATGGTGAACTCTTAGTGTGGTGGAAGAGCCACGCATGTAACCCCAAAGGGTATGAGAATCACTATAGGGAGGAGGTACCAGGTGTAGTGTATAACAATTGGAGGGGGGTGGGTTTGATGAATGGCTACATTGACTCTTCAAATTGACATTGTAATAGCTCATACAAGTAGTGATGTTGAGAGTGAGTGTGGTGAAGAAGGAGGGGATATTCATAGGTTCTAATCGGGTGAGAGAGTGAACCAAGTGAACCCAAGGCATGTGGCAGATACTGTCAGCACTGCAGCAGCAGTAGCAATTGTTGTGCAGGGAAAAGCATAAAAGGGGAGGCATTTTGGTGCTTGTGCGAACAAAGGGAAGAAAAGTGTATCCCAAGTAAGATCTTCTGATATCTTAGGTTGAGGAACCTACTGTATGGGTGATGATATGGCAGCATTGTTGAGGCTACTCTGATGTTGGAGGGCTGGTGCTGCAAGGGTAGTATGGACCATTGTCATTGGGCCGGCTAGAACACATGGTATGTGGTGACTGGTGGTGTTTAGATTATACGTGTGTTCTTCTTCACGTGAGATGCACACTGTACAACCATACTAATATTTATAAGGAGGTGCTGACGAAAATACATGATTGGATGAAGTTGTGGTGAAGAAAACAGGTTAAAAAGAGGATAGAAACTGCTGTACAGCCCACAACCTTCACAACTCTTGTCAGAATAAAAATGAAAGGAAATCATTGACTATCTACCCAAAAAAAAAAAAAAAAAAACAAATCTGAAACTTCATTTTTTTTTTTAAAAAGCAATCATTAATTTGTAATAAACCTCACTGTCTAACGGTCGTGTTTTTTTTCAACGTAAGCCTCAATGTGGTGTGAGTGCTACGTGACATCTTTTCAATGACCGAGGAATGAGCCTAAACTTACTGGAAACTATAGTTCAGATATACTATATCTAAGGAACGTAAAATAACCAAAAAAATTGAACCGAATCATGAATTGAACTGAACCGTCTTTAAAATAACCGATTTTTAAAAATCAGTTCATGAACCGAACTGATTTTTAAATAACCAGTTCATGAACCGAACCGAACCGATTTTTAGAACCAGTTTAAGAACTGAACCGAATCGTTTTCGAACCGAACTGAACCGAATCGTTTTCGAACCGAACTGAACCACTTTCGAATCGAACCAGTTTTGAACCGAACCATTTAAATCAATTCAGTTCGGTTTTTTAAAAAATTCAGTTCGGTTCGACCCATGCACATCTCTAATTATACCAAATCGTGTGCAATAACTCATTATCATTTTAAAAGTAAAGTAGTTGTTTGGTATAGATATTTATACAATTATTTAATGTAAAATAATAATATTTCAATGTGTAATTGGCTTAATGTATACAACTTACATAGACTAAGTCAAAGAAAAAATAAACAAATTCTTACGCCTACACTTAAGTAATTGATGAAATGTTTCCTTCAAGTAAAAACCATCACGACTATATTGTCATCATTAATAACAAGGATGTTATGTTGTAAATTATTGATTTATATGAATTTTCAATTATTTTTTATTAGAAATTACTATATAATTTTGTAAAGTGTAAGTAAATGATTATTATTTTGGCTTGTATTAGGTTTAGAGAGATTCTCACACATTAAAAAATTGATGATATTGTCAATCAAATCTCATAATCTCTCTGTTCTCCACTTTAGCCTTTTCCTCCCTCTTCAATCTTTTTCAGGTTCCAACTATGCAAAGCTAGCTATGTAGTTTAGTTTTCGGTTAACAAGCAAAACTGTCCACTCTTAGAAAATTATATTTTCTAATAATAATTATTGTGGGTCACATATTATATTAATAATTATAGTGTGCTATTTATATATATTGGATAAATTAAAGTGATCAGTTAAATATTCTCAAATAGATTCCTAAGTGAGTATGAGCTGAATGAGTGGATACCGGTGTTGGGCCAATTAGGTATAATGAGAGCTTATTGGCCCAACAATAAAGATAAAAACACTATATAAGGGTTATGGTCCCCAATACGTCAAATTAACTACCCTAGTTTCTCTTCCCCATCAAGAGAGAGACGGCACACTAAGCAATTCGATTTTTGGGTGATTTGACTGAGGAAGACTACAAACCCCAAGAGACAATATCAAAGTTATTCCACTACAATGGAGACAGGTATGCCTCCACCTTTATGTTCTTATTTCTTTATGATTTGGTATAATAGATCTTGACTTATAGGTGATAGTTATCACCAAAAAATTTAGAGGAATTAAAAATTCCAACAATTGATATCAGAGCCATAATCATATTGAATCATGAAGGAATTAAGTTTTGGTTTGATCTTTAAACAGAGATACTCGTTTGTATGATTATAAGACCCGTAATCAATTGCGATTTATTTTTTAAATCTGTAAATTATCTGCGTTCCGTCTTTGATCCGTATTGCGATCAGAATACAATTGCAACCGATCCTTTTTTCGTGAACAGTATATATACCTGTTTTCATTCTATACACTTGTTATCTCGATTTTCGTGAATTACAAATCACCGTCTGGATTGCCGTTCAAATTGTTGCAATTTGTTAGCGATTCGAATTGTTATATATTGGCATTCGAATGGATATTCCACATGTAAGTTATATATTGGCATTCAAATTATATATATATGTTTGATTACAATATAATAGGTTGTACACAGTACACATATAGTAAGTTATCTAGGTTGTACTGTTACAATATTTGATTACAATATAATTGTAAATTGTTGGTATATTTTTGCAATTTTTCCGATGCATTATATATTCTTAAAGTTGATTATATTTTGCAATTCATAAACTAATGTCTCGTAACTGTTAATATCAGTGTCGTTATTTATTTTGTGATGAAAACAGTATGTATGGAAATACATTAAAATTGATAATAAATATTTTTTATATTTATTATTATTATTATTTTTAAATGTGTTTATTATACCTAAAGGTTTCTATTTGAAATTGAATATGATAAATTTATTAGCCGCCACAGTGGCCAAATTTATAAAGGTTAATTTGATTTCAAATAGGTTGGTCATATAAATATATTTTATTTATGCAAATAATAATCGGCCCACATGAAGGTTATTGTTTGGCCAAATAACATATGTTGTGTGATCATGTGTGTGTTTATTGCTTATGGGGATAGTGATCGGCCCACAGGAAGGTTATTATTTGGCCAAGTAACAAACATACCTGCGGTAATAAATATGTGACAATTATTAAGAATTCTCCATGTAATTCATAGTCGGCCCACAGGAAGGCTATGATTTGACAGGACTTATTGTCAATGTTTGATTACTACATTAAGAGTACCACTTACAAGTTGATATTTTTGTCCACAGACTAAATATTAATGTTGTGCTAGGTATCTTATAATAAACTCATTTTACTTCGGATTATTTGTCTATATCATGTATGTAATTTATTTATGATGGTGTTTGAATATATATATGATATGACATGTTATTAGTATGTAATCTTATTTTGTTCTCTGGAGACAGTTTCTGCTACCGCTGCCAATTATGTTGCTAGAGTGAATTCGCTTCCAATGCTTAATGGGGCAAATTTCAAGCTGTGGAAAGAGAATGTGGAAATTGTTCTCGGCTGCATGGATCTCGACAATGCGCTAAGGACTGAGAAACCCACTTCCACTCAGGAAAATCCAAACACGGATAAAATTGAGAAGTGGGAACGCTCAAATCGCATGTGTTTGATGATCATGAAATGTTCCGTTCCGGAGACATTTAGGGGCTCGATTGTTGAGACTACTAATGCCAAGTTGTTTCTGAAGGAACTCGAGCAATACTTTGCTCGAAATGAAAAGGCTGAAATTGGTCAAACCTTGTCCAAACTCATAAACATGAGGTATAAAGGAAAAGGAAACATAAGGGAATACATTATGGAAATGTCTAATCTTGCTGGAAAACTAAAGGCATTAAAGTTAGAGCTGCCCTCTGAGTTGCTCATGTACTTAGTTATTATCTCTCTTCCTGCACAATACGATCAATTT